CAAGGTGGGAATAGGTGTTGGTATAAAGAAAGAATTTGATGGCACCTAACAACAACTTTAACACAAGGAGCCTAGGTAGCGCAATGGTTAAATGTTCAGCTGCTAACAGAAAGGTTGGCAGTTTGAACCCATCAGTCACTCTGCAGGAGAAAAGACCTGGCGATCTGCTCCCATAAAGATCACAGCCTAGAAAACCCTATGGAGTAGTTCTACTCTGTCACATGAGTAGAACTGCTATGAATCAAAATTAACTCCACCCCATCTAACAATAATCAGGGGCAGATTAACCAGTAAGTGAGCACTCACAGGCTTACATTAAACAAGGTATGCATGGGCTAACTTGTGTTCACTTACCAATCTGCAGTGCACAATTTCACATGGGGTTCAACACATCTTTGATGTGCTGAAAAACAAGTGAAATTGTGCACTACAGATTAGTAAGTAAGCACAAGTCAGCCCATGTGTAGCTTGCTGATTAGGTAATTTTTGTCCCTGACAACAATAACAACATCAATACAAACCACTCATCTCAGTCATTGCAGAAATGCTGAGCATTTCTGTGGCTGAAAATCTGTGTTCAAAATACTTGTCACTATACAATGCATTGCATTGTGCAAATATGCTGCAAAAGATCTCTTTCAAATGTTAAAAAGCAAAGTTGTCACTTTGAGGACTAAGGTGTGCCTGACCCAAGCCATGGTATTTTCAATTGCCTCATATGCGTGTGAAAGCTGGACAATGAATAAGGAAGACCAAAGAAGAACTGACATCTTTGAATTGTGGTGTTGGTGAATAATATTGAATATACCATGGACTGCTAAAAGAACGAACAAATCTGTCTTGGAAGAAGTACAACCGGAATGCTCCTTAGAAGGAAGGATGACAAGACTACGTCTCACATACTTTGGACATGTTATCAGGAGGGATCAGTCCCTGGAGAAGGACATCATGCTTCGTAAAGCAGAGGTCAGCAAAAAAGAGGAAGACCCTCAACGAGATGGATTGACACAGTGGCTGCAACAATAGGTTCAAATGTAACAATGATTATGAGGATGGCATAGTACCAGGCAGTGTTTCGTTCTATTGTACACAGTGTTGCTATGAGTCGGAGCTGACTCAATGACACCTAACATCAACAACAGTTTATTATGAACTCGAAGATGACATGCTTACTTTCTTCCAAGGTTCTTAATTTTTCACTTCACCCTGCATTTTTTCCCACTTGGTCAGATTGAGGTCCACAATAGTAATTTTCTTTTTCTTTTTTTCTCCATCTGAAAGGTGAATCTAATGACAAGGTAATTCAAGAATTTGCCAGAAGAACTGTGTTCATCAGAAATAATTTTTCTGCTAATATTCTAATTATTGAATTTTAAAATTCAGCATGAATCATGATTTAGCTACATTGTCTGTCCACATGAAAACACGGGGAAACCACCCCAGTGTGCCTGGGGTTAAGAAATTGGACCAAGTGATCATTACATAACAATGGATTAATAATAGACATTCTAATGAACCAAACATGAGCTTGACAAAACTCCTGGGTACTTTTCATAAAACACTTTTGATGAGCCACTTTGTCTGTGAAGAGTAGGACACATTATGGAGTGTGAAGAAAAAGAAGAGCCATGAATAACTTCAAGAGCATAGCAGTCTTTATCCGGGAAGTTCTAACTTTGCATCTGACCCAAGCCATGGTCTTTTCAGTCATGTCATATCTGTGTGAAAGTTGGATAATGAGAAAAGAAGTCAGAAGAATTAATACATTCAAACTGTGGCATTGGCAAAAAATATTCAATATATCACGGGCTGCCAGAAGAATGAACAAATCAGTCTCAGAAGAAATACAACCAGAATGCTCATTAGAAGTGAGGATGGCAAGACTTTAACTCACTTTCTTCAGACACATCATCAGGGAAGATCACTTGATAGAAAAAGATATCATGTTTGGTAGAAGGCAAACAAAAATGAGCGAAACCCTCAATGAGATGGATTGACACAATAGCCAAAACAATGAACTCAGACATACCAAAGGTCATGAGGATGGCGCAGGACGGGGCCACATTTCATTCTATTATGCATAAGATCATCATGAGTCGGAGCTGACTAGATAGCAACTAAAAACAACAGCAACAATTTGTTTTAACTAAAATCTCTTTTGCTGCAATCTACACCATGATCTACTTACCTTGATTCCATTGAAAATAGGCCCATATCAACCGCCTCTTGTGAACCTGGCTGCAACCAGAATCATGCCATGTATTTTGAGGAGCTACAAAGAAAGTAAAAAGTGGCTCCTTAACTTAAAAGAGTCTGTCATTTGGTAGATTAAACCTCTTTAAATGGAAGGAAGATATGCCTGCAACATTACCAGTGTAGCTACAATTTGCAGCTTGAGATTGAACTGGAATCCCTCTGAATATATCTGTGGAAATGGGAAAATCAAGCTGTTATAGATTAAATTGTGCCCCCAAAAAAGATATGCTGAATTCCTAACCCTTATACCTATGAATGTGACCTTGTTTGAAAATAGAGTCTTTGAAGATGTTATTGATTAGGTTCACATGAGGTCATGCTGGACTAAAATGAATGTTAATTCTATATGACTGGTGTCCTTATAAAAGAGAAGAAGATACACAGAGATAAAGGAAGGACACCATGTGACACTGTAGCTGCAAGCCAAAGAACGCCTGGAGATACCAGAAGCTAGGAGACAGGCATGGAACAGTTTCTCTCTCAGAGGCCTCAGAAAGAATCAACACAGCCAACACCTTGATCTCCAGAACGGTAAGACAATAAATTTTTCTTCTTCTGAAAGACCTAGTTCGTGGTATTCTGTTACAACAGCCCTAGGAAACTGATACACAAACCCATGAAATATCCATCAGCTTGTAAGACTGAAGGGTCTTTTGGTAAAAATCAACCCATGAGAAGAGGGGGAATCAATCATCTAAAAGGAAGGCTAATTCTAAGTACGGCATAATGTCACTACTTGGCTTTGTCCTTAGCTCAGCTCCACATAGACTCATATCTGTATCCCATGGAAGGGAGGGAGTGCTGTTAACAAGGAATAAAAAAGTCTGCTTTCCAAAAAAAATGCTCTAACATGGGAGCAAAAGGCAATACCACCTTGAGACCCCTTGTAGAATGTAGCCCAGAAAGGCAGAGGTGCTTTCTCTCCCTGTGGCACAGATTGTGGTACAACTTTGGCATCTCTAGGACTCCAAGTATCAGTGACAGTGACCATTGGTACAGGGAGAAGCGTCCTCAGAAACTTAGGCATACATTATGATGATCATTCCCTAGGACGTGTCAATAGAGTCCAGCAATGGTAGGGCAGAACAGAGAGGAAAAAAACAGGTAGACACCACATGTATCTGACCTCTTAACAAGCAAGCACTTGTGAGAATCTTAGAAATATTTGCATGCGCTCGATTGCATTATGAGCAGGTAAGCGAGAGTCAGAGAAGCTTAGGTTTACATTACCATCCTTGCCCAGCTTTTAAATAATGATGATGGGATGAGTTCTTTATATACAGCACTCCAATTACTCATTGCAGCATTTTTTGGTAATTATATTTAATAATTAGGTAGTCTATCTATCCCAAATCTCATGTTTGCCACATCTGTTCAAGATCTCCAGAACCCAGGTAGAGAGCTTCTTAGGGAATATTAAAGAGAATGAAGTCTGCAAAACCGACTATTGTTGTTGTTTGAAAATTATAAACATGAGAACTTTTTTAAACAAGCACCCTTCATAGAAGCAGTCATTTAACAAAAGCAATTAAAAGGACTGAATATCTGAATGCCATCTGTCCTGGTGCATATATTAAGAACCGTATTTAGTGTAACTCTTCAGCAATGCTGCTTACATCCTTACCACTCAGTAAAAGAAATAACGTTCCTTTTTTAAATATTCCTTCTTAAAATATTTGCTTTATTCTGAACATTTTAAGTAGCTTCACACAATTCTATCATGTTGAAGAAGTCAAAATGGCACTTTGTGCCAGTGTGCCAATCTTACCCAAATTCAATCATTGTCCTAATATTCAATTAAACTTTGACCTTTGCTCTATCCTATCTTCTTCTCAAAAGTCTTGTGATGCCTCTAGTTCTAGACAATGGTAAAATTAGGCTTATTATTATTGCAGTCATTACTCCAAATGCATGGACAGAAAGGAAAGGTGCCATGAGGATGTCCATACTACAACCCAGTTTTCTAGCAAGGAGAATCAGTGGTTGAGGTACTTCAGTGGAGTGGGATATGATTGGGCTCTAGCCAATAGACAAGGTGGGTAGAGGCAAAGAGATCTACAGGATGAGTTTACTCAGGTAAACTTCTCAGTAGGTTCCTTGGAAAACCGTAGTGCTTCCTTTATGCAGCACTATAAGGTGGCAAATTAAACAAAATCCCACTAAAAAATACAAAGATATGGAAAATCTATTCCCACAAAAGTACATACATATTGTCTACAAAGAAGAGCAGACATTTTGGAGTCCACCACCTCCAATTATAAAAGTCACATGCTAAAAACATCATTACGAGCTGTCCTGTAAGTGCAACAGGAGATTGCATTACCAAGTGCCAAAATTCAGATGCACGTATTCAGCCAACACTCTACATTTCAAACCTTTATATTTTCTATCTCCACTGTTGCCCTCCATTCATCAATACACCATTAACATCTCTATGCTTTGGAAGTATCAAGACATAAGCATTTGCTTCAGGGGGGAAAAAAAAAAAGCAAATGTAAAGAATAACTTTCCAGGACAAGACCTACCCTGCCAAATAACTTCCCAGTTTCTTCTGAAAGCATCTCATTGTCTTGTCATCTACTGTTTTGCTCTTTCTATCAAGAAGGTAACACAATCAATGAGACCCAGAACCAATGTTCAGCTCAGTATAGCCCATCCCTCCCATTTTAGAGTCAGGAAGTCCAGTTTTGTGAGAGCAAGCATATGTGATAAAGTATGTGAGAAAGAAAGAGAGAGAGGTTTACCTTCCAATGAGTGAGAACTCGCCCACCACACCAAGGCGCCGCATGGCGCTCAGAAGTCCTCGGACGGTCATGCCTTCACAGAAGCAGACCACCACTCTGGCCTTGGGAAGCCGCTCTCGGAGCTTGCGCAGGAGTCGGTCAAAGCTCTTCTCCCCAGCATTGCTGTAGATTTTGTCTGAATGGGCGATGCAGAGGCCTTCCTGGGCAGCCAGCTCTTTGAAAGCATCCATTCCACTCTCTCCATAATTCCCTGTCCAGAAACAATCATCAGATGGTCAAGACAACTGTGGCAGCAATAGCATTAAAAAATTGGAATAAGAATTCATTGGTCACAAGGAGTGGAGGGGACAGGCTTGCCAAATAATTTGTAAGGATGACTGGGACTAAAGGGAGATGAGAAATGGTAGGAAGCTGATCTTCCTATCTGGATGGATTAAAAAGAATAATCAAATATAACCAAATGATCAACTCTGTGAAAATGATGAGATACTATTGGAGCTAGGGCATCCACAGTGAAATAAGTTTTGAGAAATAAAGGACTGTTGTCCTATTTTACAATGATAATTAATAGTGGTTGTCCCAGATTTTAACAATGTAGGAGAGATCAGCACATTGGGGTAGGAAGGTCAATCAGCACAATGAGAAGGTCTGTTCATTTGAGGGATTGCTGGAGCTAGCTGCCAGGTTAGGAGGCAGCCACTCATGCTGATATAAAGCCCTGCAACATTTCTAGGGATAGTGAGTAAGCAAAGCACTGAAACACCTGGCCAAACTAGAGAGCAGAAGGTGAGAAACAGCTGCAGGGTCTTAGTCACAATCCACCATTCTCTGATGAAGTGATGGGATTATGAAATATTTATGTCTTATATTTTTTATTTTGATTTTATCACTCCGATAATAAAATACAGAGCCCTGGTTGCTCAGTGGTTAAGAGCTCGACTGCTAACCAAAAGGTCGGCAGTTTGAATCCACCAGCTGCTGCTTGGAAACCCTATGGAGCAGTTCTACTCTGGCCTATAGGGTCACTATGAGTCAGAATCGACTCGATGGCAACGGGTTTGGGTTTATAATAAAATACACTTAAAAAAAAAATAACTAAGAACTCACAGAAATCAATGAGATAAAACAAATATCGCATTTTACCAATTCCCCATCTCTCTATTTTACTGAATATTTTTGCCTCTCCTTTGGTGTCCTCTATAGCCCTACTCTAGTTAGAGTCCCTGGGTGGTGCAAACAGTTAAGCACTTGACTACTAACTGAAAGGTTGGTGGTTTGAACCCACTCAGAGGTGCCTTGGAAGAAAGGCCTGGCAATCTGTTTCAAAAAGATCACAGCCTTGAAAGCCCTATGGAGCACAGCTGTACTCTGCAACACATGGGGTTGCCATGAGTCAGAATCAATTTGATGACAACTGTTTTATTTTTATTTTTTTAATATCCCTACTCCTCTTTCCATATTTAAGGATTTTGATATCCATGCGGATGACCTGTCCAACACCACTGTCTTCTCACTTCCTCAAACTACTGCTTCCAAAATTTCCTCAACCCAGGTGTCTTAGTTATCTAGTGCTACTATAACAGAAATACCACAAGTAGATGGCTTTAACAAACAGAAATTTATTCTCTCAGAGTTTAGGAGGCTAGAAGTCCGAATTTAGGGCACCGGCTCTACGGTAAGGCTTTCTCTCTCTGTTGTCTCTGGGGGAAGGTCACTGCTTCCTTTCAATATCTGTGGGCCCAGTGTTCCTTGGAGATCTCTGTGTGTCTTAGTATCAATCATCCCCTGGATCTAGGAGGTTCTCAGCACAGGGGCCCCGGGTCCAAAGAATGCACTCCACTCCTGGCTCTTCTTTCCTGGTGGTAGGAGGTCCCTGTGGACTAAATTATGACTTAGGGCTGGAGAGTTGATATACCCTTGAGGTAGGACAGTGAAGGGGTATTGCTGGCCTTGCCAGCTGAAGGCAAACTGCTTCTGGTGGTCCTTTGAAGCAGGTATGGAGAAAAAGAAATTAGCCAGATCAATAGCTGTATACCAGGTACCAGGAGATGTATTAATTTGCTCAAGCAATGAAACCACATCTAGAACAGCAGCTGCAATTGAAGTCACCATCTGGTTAAGTTTTTGATAATCCATTGTCATTCTCCAAGATCCATCTGTTTTTTGCACAGGCCAGATAGGCAAGTTGAATGGGGATGTGATGAGAACCATCAGCCCTGCATCCTTCAAGTCCTTGATGGTGGCAGTAATCTCCGCAATCTCTCAAGGAATGTAGTACTGCTTTTCGTTTACTATTTTCCTAGGTAGTGGCTATTCTAATGGCTTCCCCTTTGGCTTTTCCTACCACAATGCCCCTTACTCCACTTGTCAGGCATCCTATGTAAGGGTTCTTCCAGTTGCTTAAAGTTGTCCAGGAAATCCTGACCACATCCCTTGTTCTTATCTTAGCACTTATACCTGATATTTTTCTTCTTTATTTTTCTCTTCCCTCTGGAATATAAGCTCCATAAGCACATCTTCTTTTTTAACTTTTTATGACTCAACATGAAAAATACTTGTAGTCATTTAAATGCACAGTAAAAGTGCATTTATTATAGCTGCCTGGTAGAGAAATGGGCTAATGTTATTGACGAGCAATTTACAAAATACAAGTAAGATTGAATAATAAGCATATGAAAAAATCACTGAACTGCATTAATTATCAAGAAAGTGCAATTGAAGTAAGACATTATTTTTTCACCTATCAGAATGCCAGAATTTCAAAGATTAATAACATTCAGTGTTGCCAAACCCAGTCACTATTACTGAAAAGGGTTCAAACTTTTTGGTAGACAATTTGGCAGTAGTTATCAAAATTTTCAAGCTAAATACAGCAATGGTTAAGTCAAAATAATTTTAAAAGCATTCAAGTATCCGAAAAGACTTAGGATTTAAATCTCAATCTCTATCAAAGTCATTGGTATTCTAATGGAATCTAATAAAACTGTCTAGCATTTTTGAGAAGAAAGCTTTGCTGCTTCCTTTTTCATAAGACTAAATTACCAAAAAAGAAAGTGTTTGCCTTTTAAGTCAACCACGTTCAATGGCATAATTCCGGTCAATGAAGCCAAAGCGGAGGCACTGGCACATCACAACATTGTCAGCTCCATGGACTATGGAAACATGTCATGGATCAGACAAGAGGCACTGACTGATTACAAGGGAGAAAACTGTAGCTGGCAAGTGAACACCTCATCCATCTGCAGAAGAGAGCACAAGGAAGTCAGATGCCGCTTTCTCACGATAAATGCAGGTTCAGGAATCTAAAATGTAAACAGTCATCACCAGCTGACTTTCTCAGTAAAAGGCACTTTCAGTCTGTCTGAAGACAGTGGTGCACCTTTGCTGCTAAGGTGCACACTCATGGCTTTACAATCACAAACAAATTTTACTCTTTTATCAAAACATAAATGAGCAACACTAAATAAGCAAGAAAGTCCTATGCATTAGAATAAGAAAATCCTAATGTTTTAAATCTAGTAAAGTCCTTAGACATAATTTGTCCAAATCCATCAGATTACAGACAAGCAAACTGAAGCTCAGATAGGTGAAGTGGCTCAACGAGGGGCATGCAGCTTGCTGGCATTAGAACTGGGACAGTGATCTATGTGTTCTGACTCCAAGGCTACTTCCAATTTCTTTTCATAGCAAAACGCAATGAAACATGTATGTTTTCACAATCTAAAATAATGTCTGGGTAAGTTGATTGGGTCCATGAAATACTTGTCCCAATTTCTTTATTTATATTTTCTTGTTTGGACAGGACTTCTCCACTACACAAATTAATAGAAAGTGGAGTGTCATACATTGGACCACATTTAATCTGCTCATTTCTCTCATGATACTTAAAGCTTCCAAGCTAGCACAGAAATGTTCATGAGAATAGCTCTAATATAAGAATGACAATAATAAGTTGTACTTTTATAAATTTTTATACTTCAAAATTTGCATCCATAAACATTATCTTATTTGAATCTCAACAATTCTATTGTACTCATTTTACTGATGATTGCACTATGTGCAAAGAAGCATACAAAAGGGGGAAGAAAGCAGTCTCCAGAGAGCTTAAATGCATGTTATTCTTATTTAGTAGCCGCAGAACTAACGATATGTCAAGGACAATTATAAGTATCTAATAGAGGTGCTATAGATTAAAAATCGGGGAGCGATTCCTTAAGAAAGAGTCACTTGTTCTGGGTTTTAAAATATAAACAGATTTTCAATAAAAAGAAAGAAAACTAGGGACTCTTTGGCTGTCTACCAGGTCATGAGCAAACAATGCCAAACTCAAAATAAAAACACTAAGCATAGAGCCCTCCCTCTGCCCCCCACCCCTGCGACTTGGGTTTCCTCTTGCCTTCCCTGGTAATTCAAGAGTTTATTTAGATACTTCTCTGTGTAGCCCTGAAGGTAGTTGTGAGTATATACAGAACTTACTTATAATAAAACACTTAAAAAATAAAAGGCCATGTAACTGTAAACACTTGTGGCTGGTAGAAAATTGCATGTTTTTCATTTGATTAGCAAATATTTTATTGAGCTCTCAACTTTAAAGAAAATCCCTGTGCTCTGCACTTCAAGAATTGCCAGGAAATATCAGACTTTGGCTCTGCTTTCAATTTGATGAATATTTACTATGTGTCTGGCACTGTGCTAAACACCTAAGCATTCCATTTATTCATCACAGCAACTCCATGCAGAAGTCATAACCCATGTTTTATACGAGGAAACGGAAGTTCAAAGAAATTTAAGTATCTTGTCTAAGGTCAAACAGTGGTAGATATAGGGTTTAGCATCCGATTCAGAAGTTCTTCCTCATAACACCATTTTATACCACCTCCTACAAGGACTTTTAGTTGTAAAGGCATGACACAAGCACATAAAATACAGCAACAACACTAAGTTGGATATAATACATGGGATATGAAAAATACCATAATGTAGATTACTGGGTTCCACTTCCAGGATAAGACAGCAAGGATGAGCACAGAAGACCTCTTGGGAGAAGTTGGAACGAAACAGGGGCTTAAAGAATATAAGCAAGGGGTTGGCATTTTAGGCAAATGGGGGTGAATGTGAACCCAATGTGAATTCTCCAGTGGGGGTGAATGTGAATCCAGAATCATTGTCTCTAAAAAAGAGGCATTTTTAGAGGCAATGAGCATAGAAGCCCTGCTGGAGAAGAAACATCATGGTTTATAGAACGTCACT